TGCGCGTGTGTGTGTGTTTCGTATGCCTGAGATAAAAGCTGTCAAACAGTGGAGGTGACCCTAGCAGGATATGGGGCATCCAGCACGTGGCGGGACAAGACCTTGGGGCAGCACAGCGACACTGTGATTTACTCTTCAAAGACAAGCTCATGATAGTATTTCATCTGCATCTTAACCCTCCTTAACCCACTAACAGGCTGTATACATTAGAGTGTCATAGGGTTGAGTGTTACACAGCGGCTCAAATAAACAGCCTTCATAGGTGATGCAATTGTCCATTTAAACTGACATGTCTAAATAGCATTAGTTTAACTTTTGATTTACTACTGTCATCACAACCAAAACACCTCCTGGTAGTTCTACGCCCCCTCTGCGGAGCAATGCCAGACTATGTGGACAAGTAAAAACTACAAATACAACACACCAGCCAAACGATTTAACAGAATATGAGACTATTTGTTCACAATCAGCAAGTTGTCTTTAAACAACACTGCTTGCCTGTAAAATGAGAGGAGACACTTGTAGCAACAGTAAAAAAGCAGGATATGACAGAGGTAATCACTTCGCCTGCAAAAGTAGCTAGTGTAATAATGAGCTAGTCTGATAGAAGGATTAAACCAAAACCTTGTACTGAAACTATGGTCTGTAGCTACTGATGTTCATCAGTATTTCCTCTTGTGAGTGTCTCCTGGTGGTTGACCTTGAGTCCTGGTCTTATAAGCTGCAGGTGGAGATTTGGACTATAGAGGAAGCAACTTATTTTTCCAGAATGAGTCTGTTAGCTATAGAGGAGCATTTGACAACCCCCTGAGACCTTCCCCTGTATATTAACCAGCTGTGTTCAAGGCCCTGAAACACTATTTAATGTCCTCTTCCTCAGTTTTATGGGCAGCTAAGTTGATAACATCCACTCCTTATAAAAGCGACTATATTATTATTTGCATGAGATTTATAGCACCCGTTTTCCTCTCCAATACCACCACTAAGTCCAACCACATTTTGCCCACAGGGGTTGCAATCTGAGATTCATGCTTCGCTTGCGGCTGGCATCTCCTCTGACTAATCTGAAGTCAAGCGTCTCTTTCAGGGAGCCAGCTGTACTTTGTATCTCACCCTCTGCATGGGGCTTAGGTCTGGGCAGCTACAGGTCTTAATCCACTGTCCAGCCACTGCCCAGGAGGGGGCACAGATATCTTGGTAAAATGAGGTGAGACGGTAGAGATTAAGCCAAAAGAAAAGGACAAGAACCTATCGATCTGTGATAACTAAGTCTGTTGGATTTGCTTAAGAAACTTTAGCTCCCAAACCATTGCCAACTCTTGCAGGGCTCTTAACGGTCCACTTAACCCCTTATATCAGATCCTCGCTATAGGCTTTGCCATTTAGTAAAAATGTTTCTTAGTTTAAAAATGACAGTAAGAATAGAGGGCAAAAGAATTTATGTCATTACCAAATAACCATGGCTACTTGAAGTAAATTACTTGACATTTTTGATAATTGCTTGGCTGCATACTGTCAGCTAAAACTCTGGGAAGCAAAATTAATGCTCTCTTTAGGGGGGAAATGTTTTTCACCTACCTAAGAGTCTAGCCACAGTGCAGCCATAATCATATATTATTGTTGGGATTTTGATTTTTAAAATGCCATCCATTCCTGTGTCTAATATCCATCGAACCATGCTTCATGTGTTGCATACTGCATTAATGTAGAAGTACATTACAAATTGCTGTCTTTTTCTTTGGTTTGTTGTACTGTCGTTACCTGTTCCCAGCACGTTCCCCATGTTTTCACTCTATACCAAAGTCCTGCTGAAATAATTTGATGCGTGTCTGGCCCTCCTGATAAGGCGCTCTGAAGGAAGTTGTAGTGTGTGATGAGTTCCTGTGAGCTAGATGGTTCTGAAGGACCAAAGTTCAATAGGAAGTGGAGAAAGGAAAAGGATGCAGATCATATCACTCCCAAGAATGAGGATATGGCCAATGAAGCTGCTGAAAACAGACTTAGAAAACAGACTTGTAAAGCAGTGCTGTCGCTGATGGAGTTTTCTTCCAACTCTCAATCTTTTTTTTCATCACTTTATTTGCATTGTTGCTGTTTCAGAAAGTTGTCCGCAGAATTTGTGGGCAATTAAATTCCTGGACTCTTCAGAAGGTCTTGAGTGTTCCCAGGCTCTGTGGTGCTCCCTCATTAGTTTTGGGACAGTAGTTCAGCTCTTTCTTCTACCGTTTTGAGACCTCGGTGTGGAAGATAATGAGGTGGAGCAGGCAGTGCATTGCTAGAAAGGACTGGCAATTGGGTGATTAGACACCCTCACTGAGTGTTGTTTGAAATAGCAACCAGTGTTGTTTTAGTGGGGGAGCGGCATCAGTCAGGCCTCATTCAGACTGGGAACCACTGCTGCTGTAGGGGGAGGAGCACTTTCACACAGAGTGATACTTTGCTGATCGAGTAACAAAGTGAGCCAACAAACACAAGGATGCTGCATTAAGTCTCACACTGTGACTTTTCCCACTTCCAACCACTCCCAGTCTATAGCCCTTTAAAACAGAGATCCCATTTATTACCATTAAGAAATCCCTTTTTTATGCCGACTTTGCTTGCTTACACTGAACCAACAAAATCGTGACGTGCAGCACAACAGCGTTGGCATTTGGTCCGCAACACAGACATCGATCTGACTCTGTCACTATCTCTGCTGCAGGCTCAAAGGCAGGAAAACAATGCCTCCTGATTCCATGTTCATATCTGTTTATACAGAACTGTAAGGTAGAATAAAGGCACAACATTCCCGCCTTGAACAGGCTGTGTAAAAGGGGCTTATCAGATACCTCTTACCCCCCCCTTGTTCCTTCCTCTGCCTCTATGATCCTCCTCAGCCTCTTCCTTTTTGTGGTGACCAATAAAGCATTACCATTGCCTAATGTTCTGCCGAATTTCACACCCAGTCTGTCATTATCCATAAGCATGCGAGAAAGCCTTGTCCCGTGGGATGCAATCGTCACCTCTCTTGTTGTCCCTGTTCAAGCATCCCCTTATCTGCACCCTTTCACGCGTCAGCATCCAAGGCCTATAGCCTTTCTCCATGTGAGCTTGCATAGTAGTTGACAGCTACTGCAGTGTGTGCTTTAGATAGAGATGCTACCTTTCATTACTTCTGTAATGGAGACAGACTGTTGACGTAAGTGTCTTTTCTTCACATGCAATATCTAATGTAGCCAAATTTAGTATTTGGATTTTTTCTTTTCATGAAAAAAGTCATAATATTCATCACGCTGAATTTGTGGCCAGCAGTTCATGAGGACCAACTAGAGCCAATGATGACAGACACATTGCAAAAGCAAAAACTAGAGGCTGTTGTGGGCCACAGATGCTTAATGACGGCCTTATGGCATCTAGCAGCCGACTGTTGGCTTGGTGCGTAAGGACACTTCAGTCTGAAGTCCTAATAAATGTCCTGTTGACAAGGTTCAATGCCACCATGAATGTCACTGACCAGTGTTATAGTTTTAATGAGATGTGTTTGTGAGTGTATTAATAAATAACCTTGATTACTATAATTTAGTTCAATAAGTGGCATACAGCCAGGTCCAGGAGTAGACAGTCTGATGATGGCGCGGGGGGGGGGGTGATTGCGGGTATTCTGATAAAGGCTCATGCTGTAAGCCTGGGTGGACCACCTCCTGGGGGGCTGGGGGGGGGCCGTAATGACTTCCCCAGCTGGCCCCCTGGGACGACTGCGCTCGTGCTCTGCTCCTCTCCTGGCCGCTTTAAGCCACCACGGTGTTTGTTTAGGGAAGATTAGCAACGTAAAACCCTTACAACATCCTGAACACACAGCAAAAGGGAGACACGATGGAGAGGACAGCGGGAAAGAGGAATAGAGATTGATGGGTGGAGAGACAGAGGAGAAGAGAGTATATTGTGTTCAGCAAGAGGATGGTTCGGGGATAGAATGAAAAATGGAAAGAGACTGAAGAAAATGGGAAATAAAAGAAGTGTAATTCGAAGCAATTCAAAAAGAAAGATCATTTCAACAGTGCTGTGGTGGTGTCTGGTGGTGTCTGGTTGCCAGTCAGTGGCCAGTTCATGTGTAGCAGAAAGCATCTTGTGAAACTGCTGTTAACAACCAAACACGGCTGCAAAGTCTCTGTTATTCTACATGATAGACACTGAAGGGGCACAGTGAAGGCACCTGAGTGGTTGAAACTGTCCCCTGGATAGTGTAACACTGTACTGTGCATTTTTATCTTCTAAACTGATTAGGCTCTTTGTGCACCACTGCTATGGATATAAAAGCAATGAGGTGCATTGCATACATTTCTAGAAATATGCTTGCTACCTTGTGGGAATATTAGTTCAATCCAACAGGCTGTAGCTTGTTACTTTTACTTGAGTTTTTATACATTATCTTTCTAAGTGACCAGGTTTTGCATTTTAATTATTGATTAATTGATACAAAGAAGGTGACTGAAGAGAGATGTGACACAGCGAGGCTTTCTAAGCTGTGGTGCACCAGGTGTGTCACAGGTGTGTGTGCTTAGCTGTGGCAGGAAACAGATGTGCAGTGATATCAACGGCTGCACAGGTCTGGGAGACTATCAGCACGGACCAGCCTGCTGTCTCACTACAGTGCTCGACTTCCTGTGGGCTTAAATCAAGCCAGCCTATGATAAGGAGAGGAGAGCGCTGTGTGACCAGTGCTGCTCTCTTTGAGAACAATCTGTGGCTCCCTGATTATGAACCCTAGTGATTAAACAAAGACAGTGAGAGGTTAGTATTAGGGAGCCTGTAGGTAACTAATTGTTGGGAATTGTGTGACTGACATGAGGGAAGTTGAACAGCAATTACAGGCTCATGCTCATGAAAACAGAAAGGAGGTTTAAGACCTTACTCTACCTTACTCCTTGGGGATTGGTTTGAAGCTTTGACCACTTGTAAGTTTCAATGTATTTCTGTTGACAGTCCTAATATCATAAAAACATTCTTTGTTCTTTTTACAGTCCCTGTCCAGAGCAAGGAATGGGAGATGAATTTAACCTCATGGATCATTCAGACCTGTATATCTTAGACTTCAGTAAGTATCCCTGTCATTATCCTCCAGATACCTAAGTCCACCTCAGTATTTTCAGCCACCTTGCTTGGTTAAATAATATATCTGTTGGTCTCCTCAGTACATTTTATATTACCAGTACCCTCCTGACAGCACTGCTTCATTTCTCACCTGGCCTAGTAAGCCTGGCCTTGGCCCTGCTTTGTGTTATCACATGGCGCACTTCCGTCTTTTGGACTACCAAATATAGCCATATCCTGCCTGCACTGGGGTAGCCTGTAATGCTGTCAGGTCACAGTTAGGGTTTGTGTAGGTGGGCTTACACTGGGACTGGCAGTACCCACTGGCGTCCCCTGTGGCATACTCCTCCACGTGCCAGTCGCGTGTGTCCTCACACTGTTTATCACTGACCATATGGTGGAGCAACCATGACGGTGATTGTAATTGAGGGGAAGTTTATAATTAGTATTAGAAAGGAGGTTTAGAATAAGATGATTTGTGCACTGAGTTAGCATCATCATGTTCTCCATGTCCTTGTGTGAATTGTGTTGTTTTTCTGCAGTATGATATAAACAAAATGTGGTTTTTACATCACGGAGAGCAGATCGAACCCCTTTCATCTACAGCTTCTTAGATCTGACCTGCCTGACTCCATTTTGAATTCCCACAGCTGAAATGGATATTATTAGCCTGAGTATGATTAGTATCTGTGATCAGTCCCTGACTCATTACACTTTCTCTTCTTTTCAGGCCCTAATTTGAAGACGTTATGCAAAATAGCTGTTATTCAGTACAGTCTGGAGCAGTCAGGACTCCCACATGATATCAGGTCAGACAAGCTTCCTCTCCTCAAACATTAGTCCTGTTTTGTCATTGAGCTGACACATTGTTGTTCATGCAGTTTGTACTATGCTTGTCATTGTTGCCACCACTATGTCTCTCTGAATAATGAGGTTGTTTTTCAATGAGGCAAATTATGACTCATTATCCTTCATTTAACAGTGCAACTTTTATTTGCTTTTTTCCGACTTTACTTTAAGGCCCCACATGTAAAATTTGTACGTAATTATATAATCTTCCAATTAACAGCATGAACATTATGCAATCATTGTGACACATTAGCATAGACTATATAATGCTTTCAGTTTGTACATTGTGTACCTGTGTACAATTTGCACAAAAGCTGATGCATTGACATTCAGAAGAAAATGGTATAAAATAGGAGGAGAGGACTTTCTCATTCCATGTATTTGTAGCATGGAAGTGTTAAAGATCAACAACAATAGATAAAATATAACTATGAATAAATTGTGTGCAGCAAGATGATACATAGATGATACAAGTCACCGTCTTGAAAAGAATAAAGACAAGACCCAAAAACTTCTCTCTAAACTACAGTAGATCCACTTTATAGCCACACACACCAACACAGGTGAGTCATTTTTGAACACATTATGCTGTCGGATAAAATGTTTTATAAGCTGCCAGAAATTCAAATATTAAAGGCAAAACTTGTTTGCTAGCACAGTCCAGCTGTTGTTAGTTGTATGTGGTTTCAGAATAGTAACCAGCCTAACATCAGCCATGTGAGAATCACTGAGTGCGATCCACATTTGGCTGTTGATTAATTCCTTGGATAAATGATTTGCCTTTTTGTACAATTTCAGATTCTATTTTTTGGGGCTTTAATATGTTGTGATATTGTTTAAAATGCCTCTTCATCTACTATATGTAATTTGTCTTCTTAAACCACCAAGCTGGAGTAAGCTAAGAATTTATAAGTTTGTAATATTTCACATCCTGAGACCAAATCATTGTTGCTTGTTAAAAAAGTGGTGGAAAAATCATTCCTCAAACGAGCTGCTTAGCGGGCCAGTTGTTCAGTTATTAATTACCTGTTTTCTTCTGCTCTCTTTTGTTCCGTTTTGTAGAGTTCAGTTAATGGCACTAATAGTTCTGTTTCATTATGAGCAGACAGGACGTAGCAGTATTAGTCTCTGGCTCAGAAGCTTATTCTTAGAAAGTGCCGTTTCTACTCAGCACACACACACTTATATTTTCTCAGATCATGATAAAACTGGAGATCTTAAATTTTAGGATTAAAATATGAATTTCAGTGTTTTTTTGGCATCTATTCCAAATTAAATTCATTCACCTAGCTATAAAACAACAGTGAAATAATTGAAAATAAATCAAAAGCACTGCCTCCTAGGTATTAGGTTGGAAAAAGAGGAAACACTGTTGCTTAAAGAGACTAGCGTGATAAATTAATAATACATAATTTCCCTCTCTCAGTGACAAGTTTGAAAATTATTTTCACACAGTTTTTTTGAGAGGGACTCAAAAGTTAGTGAATATCTCTTTGATGTGTTGTGATGTTGTAATCACAGGGTAGGGAAGTTGTAATAACTGTGTTAAAGCTGGTAAAACACATAAAGGCAAAAATATGTGTCTAAAAACAGTGTGTTTTCAATAATTACGGTCTCGTCAACCACCTTTACTCAGCTGCAGATTGAGGTGAAATGTTCAAACTGGTGTTTTTAAATTGGCAGGTTCACATTCATTGAAATCTAAGTATTTTTTCTATATTCACACAAGTATAAAACCATTTCTCAAATATCCTTAATGAAGAGATTTTGTCAAGCTGATGTCGCTCATTAGAGGAGTGTGTCTTAAATGGAGGGCTTGCACTGAAGTGTTTTTTTTTTTTCTGCGTGGAACTTGATACTAATTACTCTTCTCGGCCTCCCATTTCTCTCGCACCGTCACTGCCACCTTGCACACTCCCCACTTTAGCGTTTGCAGTTGTGTTTCTAACCCTTAGAGGGTTTTCGGTGGGGTCACAAGACTCCTTTGCCCCTCACTGGCATCTCCAGCTCCAATGCCAATCTCCCCTCTTAAACACACACGCGCACAACAACAAAAAAAAACGAACAAAGCAATTGAGAGGGAGTGAGTGTGAAACCAGAGCCAGTGATAACAATCTGGAGCTCAACCTCTGACCTGTCATCAGGTCAGCACTAGAGCCTGTTGTCAGCCCCTGCTCCTGGCTCTCGTGTTACAGCGGGGCCTCCTCTCGTCCTTGTCCACATCGTGGCCCTTCGCTCGGACAAGGGGGGAGCACAGGGTGAGAGCAATTGTCACACTATTGCTTGATTGTCAGTGCATTAGATATTTAGCACTTTGGATATTTCACACTATAGAAATCTGTTATGTATTCAATCAGTCAGGAAAAAAAAGGGTATTAAAAACATCACCATATATATTCAACAGTAATACAACATTTTTGATTACAATGTAAAAACATTTTATTGGAGTTTACTGCAAGCCTTCCGTCTTCCTGAAGATTTTGGTTGCTAATTCTTCCTCTTGTTCACGCCAGGTGGGAATTGGCAGCCATGACCACCAACAGCAACATCAGCAGGCCCATCTTCTCCTCCCATGGCTGATGCTGCTGAATGTGAAGCAGAACACAGCTGTTTCAGGACACTGGGCTTTTATCTTTCTAATCAACTGAGCTCTGAGGGACTGTTTTGTAGAGTTTGGATCTGTATTGGATTTATTTTCCACTTTCTTCAAGTGAAAACTCATTACTGACCAAAATATCCTGCCTGTGACTTCCTCAGACACCATGAGCTCTCTCAAGTCCGTGGATATTTTAACCCTTGAAGACAGTGGTTATGTGCGACAGAAATCATTGACACCTGTTCACCCTTTTCTCTTCTTACTAGCCTCTCTAGAAATCCAATCAGCCTATGATAATCATAGACTTCAAACCTTAAGCACAGGAAGAGACGAGAACTTCAGCCAAAGGTCTTGAGAGCCAATCTCTCTGGTGAGGATTTCATCCTGATGTCACACTCAACAGATCTCCCTGAAGAAACAAACGTGAACCGTCTGTTCTGTAGAAATAAAGAACCCCCTTTCACACAGCCTGTTCAAGGCGGGAACTTTGCGCCTTTATTCTGCCTCGCCGTTATGTATAGAAGGTATGAACACAGAATGGAGGGGGCATTGTTGTTCCGCTTTTAAGCCGGCAGCATCCGTGGAAAGTGGAGAGCCGGTGTGGCGGGACAGACGCCGATGCCATTAACTTACATGTCACTTCTCTGATTCAGAAGCGCTGGCATGTTATCTGAAATCACACACTAGGGCGGCATTATGTCGACTTTGTTTGGTTCAGTGTAAACAAACAAAGGCAACATAATGAGGTGTGTTCTTAACTGCAGTGCAACAGGATCTCTGTGTAAAAGGGGCGAGAGACTGGGGTGGTCATGAGTTTGTAAATCTTGCAATTTTAACTTGGTCCGGAAACCATGTAAAACTACCATGTCCATTTGCGGCAAATGAAGTTATTGTACACAGTATACAGAGAAGGCTAACTTAACTGTCTTGGTGTTAAATGAGACGGAACATTTGCTACCACAATGTTGGGGTATAACTCTTGTGAAAGGTTCTGTTTGACCAGTTTTCAATGCTTAGCTTTTCCCCCTACTTCATCATAACTCGGCTGGCACCCCACTGCTCTTAAAGTGTCTCAAAGGTGACTTGCAGGGCGGCTGAGGCAAACTCTCTGCCTTGTAAAATAATCGAGTCCATCTACCTCCCTCAGTAGCATTGAGTCTTTAATGAGACTTCCCACACATGAGACATCGACCCCCCCCCCCCCCCCCCCCAGAAAAAAAGCCTTTTCACTGGGAAGTTTGCATTTGTGGTTGTCTGTTGTATTCTTCCATGAAATGTCAGTGTCACTGGAAGAGTGCAACTCATCTGCCACCCAACCCCCAAACCCCAACCCCCACCCCTGTAGTTTGTTTTTCAGTGCCAAATGTGGAGGGGAATCATGATGCAAATATATACTGTGTATGTGTATAAGCACGTGGTCCCATCTACACACACAGTAATCCCAGTCCACCTGCTTCAGTTTGCCTGTTGTTGTCGGGGAGCTCATCACTGATATGCATAATGTAGTTGTTCCTCTTATAGACAATCCGACAGCGTTCAGAGACTCTCCTCGTGAGCTGCGTCTTCAGAGTACGGGGAAAAAAACCAGGAAGGTGTGCACATGTATTTGTGTACAACTGCGAGCAAAGCCACACCTGAGCAGATGTTGTAAATGCATAAGGGCTGTTATTAGATTACACACTCACCACACAGCTTGAAAATAATTTGGAGTAGCTCAAATTGGGGATGTTTATTCAGGTTGTATTTTTATTTTATTAAATAACTAATTACAAATTTTAGAACAAAACTTTGAAAACTTTTTTTTATTTTTTTTAAAGATTTTATCTCCATCCACTTTAATTAAAGGATAAGGTTGATGATATTCTATGTTTTTGATGTTGTTGACAACAACAGCTACAACAGTGGGGCACTGAGGTTTTTTTTAACACTTGTTACTCAAACAGGAGTAAAGAGGATTTGTTGGGGACTCTTTTGAAGTCACTGATTTGGTGCACGCTGTATCCAGGATTGATTCAAACTCATTTCTTCATTGTTATGAAGAAACGTGACCCAATACAACTCTGTGACTCATTTATTTGTTTTTAATAGTTTTTGTATAACATTGAAATTTTATACGGGGTGAGATGTATCAGGCAAACCTTGTTATACCAGTTAATCATTGGTTTTAATCTTTGCTGACAATAAGAAAATATAGAATATCATCACACTTATCCTTTCAATCTTATAAATAAGGTTAATGAGTAATACGACATGATGGTGAAATGAATGACTTGGTGAGGATTGATACCCAGGCAGAAGAGATGTTATTAATACTGCCTGTTTATTTTAACATTTTCATCATGGGTGTTAGTTGTATCTGGTCCTGAACAGTACAAAGTCCTAAACTTTGCAAAACTAAGATGTGAATAGGAACTGTGTTACCACACACTTGTGAGCTGCATCAATGCTCTTCAGTCCTGGTCTTTGGGACAGTGTGTGTTGTGGTTTTCTGACCTGGCAGATGGTTAAATTGAATCTGTATCAGTCAGTCCCCGATTGGCCTGTTAGAATTAAGCCCAGCAGGACTCCTCGCCCTGAACATCAGGACTGAATAACACTGACCTACATCATTAATGTTTACAAATCTATGTATTTCATGTAAAGCAGTGTAAAACAATCTTAAATGCAGGTTGAAGTCGCCAGATAACTGCACTAAAGCCAAATGTGGCATGTCAGGCCTTACAGACAGGAGACATGTTGATGCTGCTTTTTGCCTAAGTACTCCAGAGTTTGAGACATTTGCCTGCCCAAACCAAGTCTGAGTTTTCTTTACAGACCGGTGGTGCCAATGTGACTCAGCGAGTCTTATGCCCTCTGCACTGCACATGCACATGGACATATCACACACTTGAAATTCCTCAGTACCCCAGTTACTTGGACTATACAGCAGGTAATGCAGTGAAACCACAGGGAAGCTAATCGTGTGTCCACTCACACATATAAAAAAAAAAACAAAAAAAAAAACAACTTCTGGTGAACAAATCAAACTGTTAATGTGACACCAAATGGCCGTCGGCAAAACTGATGATATTTGTTTAATTCTTTTTTTTTCTAATGTGTGGTGTGGGAGTCATTTTTATTTCAGGATTTTGGTCTTTTTCTTGTTGCTTGAAGATTATGGGTGATGGTATTTTAAGTCAAGACCTTTTCAGGAATCTGATATGAAGTTAATATTAAGGAAATGACAATGTAGACACTATGGTCAAAAATAAAATACCTGCACAAACAAATTTCCTCAGTGATGGTCACTCACTTACCTCCAGTAAGGCAGTGCTTATGACAAGTCAGTGATTTTTGCCTAAATATATTGGCATTGCATTTTTAATGGCAGTGATGTAAAACCCCGTTAACACGTATTTTCTGAGGCTCCTCTGTTGGTTCTCATTTAACTTTGTGAGAAGGCTTAAGCAAGTAGTTGATCAAATGTCGCAGGGTGACTTCTGCTTTACCAAAATAAGAGCATCAGTAGATAACAGCGCACATTCATGATGAAGTTATAGTTAGTTCAGGATGAGCAGTAATTATTTGCCAAGCAGAGGTATGTGACTCAACTGATCTCATGCCAAGAAGTGTTTAGGGCTTACAATATGTTGTTGAATAATACATAAACAACAAAGAATGCTTAGATAAAAAAAAAAATCTGAACAAAGTATGGAGTGTATTTTGATTCATTTTACAACTTTGCAGGCTCCTTATGCTTATTGTTATTGTTTTATATTTTACACATTTTTTTGAGGGGATTCTATCTGTCAAGGTTGGTCAGGACTTCCTGTGCAATATGCTTTATAAATGTATCAATAATAAAAAGAGACAATTTGAGTTGTTACATATCTGGATCCATTTGAAATGTGACATAAGTTCATTTTCTTTACAGGCTTGTTTCATGTTCAGATCTTCAGAGCCTAATGATGTTTCGATCAAGCGGTGGATTGACATGGGCGACATTATACTTGTACAGGAAGAGTTGTGTAGTGGCTTACATCTGATTGGCACATATGTGTAGTCCATTTGTTTTCCTCTGTATTTTACATATTGATGGTATCGTAGTCTAAAGGTCAATTTCAGCTTCTCTCTTTCCAGCTGTTCTTGGAAGGTTTGGATGCAGCCATTTCTGCAGGCTAATTTTCTTGCTAGTGGCCAAGAGTGTTTCAAAGAAGTATTGATCCTGGCTAATGATGATTTGTAAAGCTGTATGGATTTGGTCAAGACAGAACTGGACATACCGATCAATGTTGCTGTCATTTGCTCTGATATGCAACCTCAACAAAATAGATTCTTCAGAAAGCCAGATCTGTCCAGTTTCCACCTCTTTATCTATGGAATGAAGGAGCTACTGTATGTGGCACTTAATAGTTACCAGGTCTTTGAACCCTGCAGTTACCCCAGCCCTGCTTCCTGCTGAAAACCAGCCCCATCTACCCTTGGCCTGTCTGATAGCCCTCACCGTCTACTTCAGTGGGTACACTGAAGCCGTGGTGCCACCCAACCCCCCTTGTTAGCTCTCAGACTGTCTAATGGGATGTGTGCGGCTGCTTTGCTGGGGGGTGGGGTGGGGGGGGTGGTATCATTAGAAAGTGTCTCACCCTGAACCCCAGCCCCAATCTTCTTCCCTCTCCTAGCAGTGGTGGCCTGGCAGTTTGTTCCTGTCTGTCACCAGCCCCGTGCTATAAAGTCAGTGTTATCTGCAGTGTTAAGTGCAGGCCACAGACGGAGGGTCAGCTTAAAGTGAGGCAGCAGAGACACCCTGTCCCGCCTGGCCCCGCCGCACACAGGAAGCAGGGCTGCGCTGGGTCCCTCTTGTCTGGCTCCGGAGGCCTGCGTCGGCCCGCAACGCAGGCGCTAATGCAAGGAGACACTCGGCCAAATTACTCTCTAATTTCCCTTCAGGACTCAGACGATCCCACTGGCCCTTGAGAATCAGACTGAGGATTTGTTCGGAGTGATTTGTTTTGTCTTGTCCCCCCACCGTCCCTGCTGAGTTCCCTCTCTCAAGTTCTAGTTCTCTGCTCCCAGCATTGTTGAGGCCACTAAATTGGGGATTTGAGAAAAGAGGCGTTAAAGGAGCACAGGCCCTTAGAGGATCGAGGCTGCAGCTGTATGACTTAAGGTCATGCAAAAATGATGGAAAAGAAAGCAAGTCACCATTTCATTGTCTTTCCATGCTGACCTCCTTCTCACAAGAGTAACCCCTCTGAAGATGAGTGGCAGCCTTTTGTAAAAATGCACGGTTTCTACTACGCCTTAGTCATGGTTCGCGATGCTTGTAATCTATTCATCTGCTACAGGGACTCATTTTGTGTGAGTGACCGAGCCTCTCAGCTTCAGTGCGTCATGTTTGCAGACCTGTAGCTTAATTCCCTTCCAGCAGGGGTTTAATTGAGTGACTAATACTCACGCAGTTAAAGCCCTTTGAAGACAAACTGCCATGTCTGACTGTCCCACAAGTCTGTTCAAAAATTAAACAATGATGCATCATGCTGCTTCTCTGCTGAGACTTGGATGATAAATTAAAAGATAGATCTATAAATACTTTTTTTCTGTCGAACAGAGAGAGCTCCAATCTGAGTTTAGCTTTGGTTTGCAGGGCCGTACGAACCATGTGCTAGTTAGGAATGAACTGAACTGGTTGTTTTGGTGCTGGTTGCATTATGTGACAGGCTGTTATAATGTGGAAGCAACTCTATTATCAGGTGGAATATTAATTGTCATGCAGTGACAAAGTATAAGAATACAGTTGTAGATTTTATTTTAATTTATTTTTGTTACATATTAATATTTCGACTTTTTCAGCTGCAGTAGAACAATATTACAACCACAAACTGGAGACGGAAGACATCCCGTTCTCCATCATTAAAATGATGAAAATTGATGTTGAACTGTGAAATGTAGAATCAAGAATGATTCAATGAGCTTCATGCAGATGTTTAGTTCCAGCACCTTAAAACACATTTTCTGTTGGTGGTGCTACAGACATCCTGAACACTGTTATCACCTTCATACTTCATGACTTTCCATTAATGTTAGGATAATTGCTTATAAACATGATTTTGAATGGATGACATGTTTCAGAAGTTCACTACAGAAAAAGATATATTTCTTCTCCTCTACTTCTACTTCTCAGAGGCTCCAAACAACAGATTTTTATACGCTCCGCTTGTGATTTGCTGTTAACAGTCGTTTTTGTGCAGCACTTCTCTCCCACAATTCAAATGAGTTTATTTTGATTTCTGTTTTTGTAGTTTCGTCACAGCTAGTTTGCTGGGCTCAGTTTGTGGCAAAAGGAAACAGTTTTCTCTTCAAGACAGATGACGAGAAACAAAAATATGAAGGAAGATTTGTTGATCTTACAAACATTATTATTCCAAGTTTGCTCATGTGCAGCTACCTGAGTACAGTCGTGTACCTGCACTTGACTATTTCAATTTTATGCTACTTGATATTTCTACTCCACAACATGTCAGGACACTATTACTCCACTACATTTACTGCAAAGCTTGCATTACTAGTTACTTTGTGGATCAAGATTTTTAATGGAAAAAATCTGACTTCATAAAATACAGCACACGGTTAAAGATTACGCCTACCTTCCATGTCTTCATAAATCATAAAGGAATCGGTGTGTAGTTGTTTCTCCTCGTCATGTTTCAGATGTTTGTGATTGTTAGCAGTCGGCATGGTTTCTTTAAAATAACAGTTCAAATGATCAAGAGTTTCACCAAAAAATCATATAGATTGGAGAAAAGTCAAAAACATAAAAAGCAGATTTCTGTATCAAAATTTATACCTCCCGTTAATCACCTCATGACCCCTCAGATTTATCATGTGACCTTTTGAAGGGTCCCGACCCCTTAGGTTGGGAACTAGTGAAGTAAACCACCAAACCTGTAATTAAACCAGTTGAAATTTGCTCCACCTTGGGTAGGTGGTTGAATATTGATGATACACATGATAATGTCATGTATTAAACTATATCAGTCCTTTATGAAGAAACCAGAGCTGTCACTTTTACTTAAAGTACATTTAGTTGAAATCCCTCTCTACCTTTAGGATTTTAAATGCAGAATTTTTTACAATGGAGCATGGAGCATTACCTTTACACAAGTAAAGGATCTGAATACTTCCACCACTGTACACCAGTGGGGTCTCAGAGACCACAAAGACAATGTCAGCAAAACACAACATTAACTAGTTTAGTGTCTCTACTGCAATGAATTAAAAAAAAAAGTTAAGGCTGTTCTTAAATGTGGGTGTTGATTGAAAAATCAATTTTAAAACACGGGGCCACAGACGAAATAGTCCCTCTGTGTCAGAGTGTGTTTGTCAGCCAGTAACTTTAATCACGGCTGTAGCAGAGAGAATTCATAATACTCACTTAAGACTTTAAGCCTCCACTTGATATGAATCTGAAGTGGAGAATTTTCAGTGGCGATCATTTGACGGTTTCCTCAACAAACAACACCGCAGATGTTTTATGCCACATTTTTGTTTGCCACAGAATTTCTTCTCTAATTTCTTCTCATAATCTTTTTTTTTTTTTTAACCACTTTTACGTCGCTGGGTCGGATCCTGCGTCCTTTCTGAAGGGTTATTTTTAGGGCTCACTTCACTAAATATAACCCGCCTGGATCATTTGTCATCCCGGCACAACAAGTAACATTATCCCATTTTCCCACTTGCCCACCGGCTGAGTTGGATGAGAGGTTTCGGATTGGAGGCTATAAAAGGAGGGACACACACAAAGGGCTTGACACTCATCATCCAGACTGCAGCCTGCAGAGGTAGGAGATGAGGGCGGGTTATCTGTGAGTTAAGACACTTTCCCCACACAGGAGAGTTACTCTCAGTGCAGCTCCAAGTGATTTCATCAGTTTTGACTCAGTGTATTTCTTTAAGAGAATATTCTGTTGCTTTTTTTTAAGAATTAAATCAGTGTGTTTTACCCCAACTGACTTCTTCAGCGTCAAAATGATTATCTGGTGCAACTCCTGTAAATGTCACGTAAAGGCTCCGTGCGCCTCTCATCATCATCATCATCATCATCATCACCTTCATCATCATCATTTGCCTGAGGATGACCGCCACTCATCCTGCAGAAGGATCAGGTCAGTGAAACTCCCCTTCCCTCTCTTTGCCCCGCGACCTCTAGTGGCTGAATCATCACCAGCCTCTTGAGAAAATTAAGACCCCAGCTCTGCTCCGTGCAGCGCGTGCACCACGGGGAGCACATGATCCAGTTTTCTCCTGTCTGCAGCCCAGTATGAGAGACATGCTAATCCAGCAACGACGATGCTGTTAAAGGAAACATCTAGCTGCCACAGACTGGCCTCAGTCAGGCTGCCCTGGTGCAGAAACAGCCTGCAAAGACATCACCAAATATCACTTTGATGAATGTAGAATAATATGACTGGGGATTTATAGTATAATAATAGTAATTTGTAGTGTGTCTGTAAATTTTAAAATGGGATAATATTAATAGTAAATCTATAGATTGACTTGAAATCTTGGTAGAGCATTTGTAGAGCATCCTAAAAACAGCCCACACACTATTTCAGTTTCTGGATCTTTATTGTTAACATAACACACTGGGATTCAACCTGGTGTGATGATTCTCCTTTTGTGGCACTTAATGTGTCCTTGTGACGTGGGGCACCCTGCTCTGAGGACACCCACTTTATAAGGCAATGAAGGGAGCAGCAGCAGAAGCCCAGCCTCCCTCTTTGTGTGTGACGCCCACGCTGAAGCCCTGGCAGCTATAAAAACCCCAGGCTCTCTGTGGATGGGCCCAGACAGATACTGATCACACAGACTTAGTCTACTGAGAGCCCTTATTTCTGCTGCAGACACAGCAGCTACTCATATCAGCAGTTTCCATAGGAACCCTTGATATTCAAAGTCTGCTTCACCTCTTGGGGAAGAGGCTGGATTGTGAAAAAGAGGCTGGATCAGTTCTGGCCAATTACTCTTTTTTGACTTTTTCTCTTCTTTTTTTTTGCCTCATAGAGGAGAAATGACTTCAGGCCGATTTTTTTGAAATGAAAATGTGGCAGCACTGACAACTCTGGCTCCCCAGATTTAGTTCCCTTAGTTTTCTTCCACCCTCTGACCTCAGCGACCATGGTCTCTCACAGATCCACCAAAGGAGCATCCAAAGCCCGACGGGACCACATCAATTACGAGATCAGGAATATGCGGGCCCTGCTGCCCATCACCCAGGAGGACCAGGAACGCCTCTCCTACCTGCACTCCATGGCTGCCATCTGCACCTACATCAGGAAGTCAGTTCTTTTCCGGGGTAAGTCTGCAAACTTCAGTTACAGTCATTCTTTTAATACCTTCAAACCTCCGATCTACATTCAGTATGCATCACTGTCACACAAAATGGGACTAAGTGTTGCAGTAGAGAAGGGAATATATCAAAGATAAGAACCTGCAGGGAGGCTGACAGTTTAACCAAGGCTGAACTCTCTCTGCCCTCTTTAAGGACTCCCGACTGAGGAGACATCACACTGCTCTCTGCCATACGAGGCCTTTCTTGAAGCCCTGCATGGCTTCATCCTGGTCACCACCACCCATGGGAGGCTGGTCTATGTGTCCGAAAATGTAGCTGAATATCTTGGTCTGTCCATGGTGAGTCTTTTGATTTAATACAATGAAATGTACACATTTTAGAGCCTAAGCATTTCATTCTGGGCTTCAATCTGTTGTATCTAATGGTAAAACCTGTTACTTCAACAGATTGATGTGCTTCAAGGAGACACTCTCTATGACATGGTCGAACGCTCAGATGTTGATACTGTTAAATCAAACCTGGACATCGAAAGCAACTCATCATCAGGTAAGGTTACAGACTTGTGTTGCTATTTAAACTCTGATTGTAACTGTATAATCACCGCACATATCACCATGGAGATTAGTAGCCTTCTGTTGTTGGTACACTTTTGTGCCATATTTCTGTTTTGTGCCAAAAATCTGTTCAATTTCCCCCAAATTCTGACTTAGTTACACACAGTGTAAAATGTAGCCTAGCTGGAGAACTGCTGCTACAAAAAAATAATCGTAAATCAGTCAGTTCCTAATTTTTAAACTACTGTGTTTTCTTCCTTCAGACAGGAGCTTTATATGTTGTATGCAAACCTCCAAGGCCTTCAAGCTGCAGCAGGGCAGCTGCTGCTCCATGCTGGTCAGGGGGAGCTTCCAGTTCTTCCCTCAGCTCTGTCCGTCCTCGTCTGCAGCCTCGCCGCCCGCCACCGAGCCTCTGTTTGTGGCCCTCTGCACCCCGACAGTGAACCGCCTGAGTAGTTCTGACTCGCACTTCTGTCACAGCTTCAGCAGCGTCCACAGACTCGACATGACCTTCACTCAGCTGTCAGACAGGTACATTTAGACTTCCCTCTTTTTACACAGATATAATCAAAATGTTCTGATAAGGGATACTGACAAACATTTGCGTGTCTTTCTTTTTCAGCGTTGTGTACTTTTTGGGGTATTCAGCAGATGGAATGACCGGTCGATCGTGGTACAGTCTCGTCCACCCTGAAGACCTTTCGTCAAGTGCAGATTCTCACAGAAGTTTAAGTAAGTGTACGATCCATTGCAAGAAAACTTGGACTGTATTACACTCAATACTTGGCAATGATAAACAAGTTCAATTTCCAAAAACAAAACCTTTTTTTTATTTGTTTTAAAAACAACTTGAAGTTATTGATTCCATTTAATCAAAGATACTGGAGCTACAGTTGTGGTACAGCGACTTCTCTCTAATGAAACAAGCAGCCTGCAAGTCTTTAGATTTGATTTCAGCTCTGATTTTATTGTGTGCATGTCATTGTTTGTGAGCATGCATGATGAAAACCGTGAATGTGTCCTCTCCAGTGCAGACAGATGAGGGCTTCCAGGTAGAGATGGTGCTGAGACTGCAGCGGCAGGATCTGACATGGCCCTGGATCTACATTCGAGCTAACAAGGACTCTGAGTGTCAGAGCATCAGCTGCACTAACTACATCATCAGGTATGACAAACTTCACCTCCCCTGCTGACCCGAACTGAAAGTGAAAAAGAACAACAACAACAACAAAAAACAACAACGATTTGGTGCTTTTCAACTTAAAAGCACTGACTTGTAACACGTTTTTCTGCTCTTGTAGTGAAACAGAGGCCAGATTTCTGCGGCAGAAAATCAGCAGCGATGCCCTCAGGCCATCATCTCTGGCAAATTCCTGCCATTTAGCAGCTCCACAGGCGCCCCGCTGTCAGACCTACAGCAACGCTAAATGCTTTAAAAGGCAGAGGACATCTGACAGCCAAAGCGAGGAGCCAGGTGCCAAAGCTAGGAGGGAGTCCGAGCGAGACGTGTACTACGTGGCGCGCACCTCCTCCCAAAGCGATAGCTCAGCTTCTCCTTTGGGTGACAGCGCTGCTCTCTTCACCCCTCCCTACAGCCCAGCCTCCTCCGGCTCTCCTCTGCAACAGGAGGAGCTCAGCCATGACCTCCTGATAGATGTGCATGGATACACAGATCAGCTGTCATCCTCTCCTGAGGGCTCTCCCTCCTATTACTCCTACCCAGAGGCGGGGCTCACCTGTCACCAGACACCTTCCGACTCCCTCCACGCAGCCGCTGAACAAACCTTTGACCAGGGAGCCTTTGGGGCGCTCACTGCTCGCTCTCCACTCTCCTCCTCATCTCCAGCCTATGATTTCCAAGCTTGTACATCCGATGCTCGATTAGTTCCAGACTGCCTGTCTGCGTCCGACATGTGTGAGAGCCCAGTGGACTGTGCCCTGCATCAAGACGATTTCAGCCATCCAGAGCAGCCAGAAGAGGGCAGCCTGGCCCAAGTGCATCATGTGCCCCACCACGTGTTGCCTATACATTCCAGTCTCCTTACCCCCAGCCAGTCTCCTACATCCACAGAGCCTAACCAGTACAATGAGAGGGAGCAGGCAGAGATCAGTATTCTGGCACAGCAAATCTCCTCTCTGGCCAGCAGCTTTGACATGTATCACACCCTGAACCCGCTTCACCCCGCAGCCACCGACGCCCTGCCTTCAGCCTGCGACTGGCCCCATCACCCTGCTCTCCCTTCAGTCCTCCCTCTTAAGCGCGAGCTGGCCCTTGATGACGGCGTGTTCGACAGCATCTTGAAAGACCTGGACATGGTCGCGAGAAAAAGCAGCACGTCCGGCCCCGCTGCTGTGTCGTACAGCTACCAGCAGGGTTTAGTTTGCAGCAGGAGCGGGCCCCATCATTTGGAGCAGGAGTCCCTGGGTGTCTCCGCGGCCACCCCGGAGGACCCACTGCCTGCAGAGCAGTTCACTGCCATGGATGCCTTCGGTCTGCAGCTGGGACACCATGACCAAAACACTGGGTTGCATCAACTCAACCACTATATGCAGAGTAGCATTCAGCAAGGTAATTTCTACCAAACAGTGTAACTGCTACATTCATGATATCCTGCTTTGATATATGAAGGTCACAGATGCTGAACTTACATTTATTTTCTGTCTCCTTTCAGATGAACTTGCTAAAGAAAACCTGTATTGAAATAAGTCTGTGACTTACTGTACTACCACTTGTATGACATATTGTCAGGGCAATCTTCCTTCACTGGATTCAAAGAAGAATGTGAGCAAAGACATTTAAAGGACGTCTTTGCAAAGACACTGTTTCCCCCCCAGATGACGTATTTCTGAATGTAGAAAAGAATCTAAAGTAGATTCTGTACTCTTCACGACTACAGCTGTCTTCATTCCTCTCGACTGCTGTCAACTGTGTTAAATGTTTTGCTGACGTTTATGTTTTATGAAGAAGGTACTTTTAAAACTGTCAACACTTACATGCTGAAACGGAGGTATATTTTTCTTCTAATACTGAGTGACCACAGTTTACTATTGAGCACTTTATCATGTCATTGCCACAAGAATTTTTACAAATGAGAAGCTGTGCTGTTTAAAGAAATATTACCAAGATTTCAAAGCTACCTGGATGGGCTATAACACATAAATCCTTATAGCAAAGAGCCATTTTGAAATACTTGTTTTTAGGTGCCTTAAAATATTTAGACAAGACACTTATCAATTTGCTAAATAGTAATATTTTCATTCCTTTTTTTGTACGTGTCTCCTTTTTCTCTCAGTGTGCCATTAATGCTTTCAAGCTGTTAGGAGATAAAGAAAACAACCTCAGTCAGCGAGCAGTGAGATGATGACGATTGTGAATTCAACTACCTCAGTACATCTGAATACATTCCAAGTCTGAAGTCTATGAATTAATTGTATTTATTTGGTATTGAGCACATTGACTTAACCTTACTCACTTAACGGTGTGTATCTTATGTTCATTCCTTCCACATAAATCTTTTTCCACGGTACTGGAACTGTAAATGTCTGAATGTTCAGCGTTGTTGTGTTATTCCTGCAATTTGCTTCAAATGTTTGAAATTCAAATAAATCTAATAAAAAAACACATTGGGTCTTGTGGTATATTAACTAGGGTATTTTTTTCCCTCAAAAACTCAATGCGTATGAAGTACAATATACATGAATTACCGCTTTGAATTTCACTTTAAATGAATACTTTAAAATGCATTTAACCTTGATTCCTTTGGTGCCAAGCTGGTAGGTATATCTGCCTGATTAAAATGAAGAAGTGGGAATCATTTGGATCAGCGTTTCAGGCAACATTTTCTTTTAAAGATCTAACTAAAACCTGAATTAACTGAATTTCTTGGCCACTTGCGGGCAGTACTACAAGCACGAGAGTGGACCAAAACAGTAAAGTCTCAGCTATCAACCCAAAACAATGGACTGAAAGACACCGACACTGCAGAATAGGGTGATAATTCTTCGTGGGTTCATCACCACAAACGACACCTTTCACATTCCACTTAATAACTTGAGTCGTTATTCATATAAAAACATTGATTAGTATGGCTTTAAAATACACCTTTTTTGTAGGAACAGTAACTCATAACAAATGGGTCTACTGTGTATTTTTTATGTGCACTTTCTCCGTATCTGATCAGGCTGTGGCTGGATAAACAGCCTCAGCACAACGTCTCCTGGCCTCCTCAGTGCTCCATTGATTTTTACATATGGTCGGACCAATGAGAGCATATAAACGGTACATGGAGGAATCAATTACGTGTTTGGACAGATGTGCAGAGTCAATGCAAAAATGAATAGTTAGACAAATAAGAGAATTGACTGGGCCCTGAGGTGACTCATGGATCACCATGGTTAAACAGAGACGTATCTCCAGAGTAGCGCTCGATGCATGTGCATGGATGTGGAACAAAAAGCTCACAGGGGGCACTACGGTCACGCTGCTGGTGCAGTGTGTGCAATGCAGAGCCCCTGTGTTTTTCCCATGCAAGTTAAAACAGCCACTAGATGGAGTGATAGCTCCAACAGCCTCCCACTAACACAGATATCTGCATGCCATTAGTGTGATATTACTTAAACAAACTGGAAATAAAGTGAAGGAGGGATGTGTGTGCGTGTGTGTGTGTGTGTGTGTGTGTGTGTGTGTGCCAATAAGAGCACAAAAGGACATTGTTCAGTCTGCTCATGAGCAAACAGTCCAGATGCCTAGTGTTATCCATGGAGACCTAATTAAGAGTGATGTCTGTTGAAGGGTACGATGGCAAATAAAGTTCCTAACAAGTCCCCACATCTGCTCTGCTCCAGTCTTCCTGTATCACGCAGCGTTACCTGGGACAATAATGATTTCCCCGAGGCATGGTGACACCAAGTCCGTGGCATCGATGCACTTGCCCACACCAAGGAGACGGCACGAACTCACCTTTTCACTTCACCGACACACACGATGAATACTCCACAGATTACACAACACAGCGGTAAAAGAGTCTGCCACTTGTCTGTTGCGTGATTTTAATTATTAGCCCCTGGTGGCAGGGTGTCTCAGTGTTGGTGATTTTTCACACAGAAATCAAAAATATTAGTGGTAGATGTAGTGGTGGTAGTAGACCAGTGTGTGCAGTTAAAATGATGTTAAATACTGAAAACAAAATAAAATTGATTTGTAGATTTCAAGATAAAGGTAAACCAGATACAAACAAAGGGAGGAGGAGTTGGAGGGTTCTGTGTGTAGTATCTTAACTGCACTCTTGTGGACAGAGCCCTCAGATGTCACACCTGGAATCCACTTAAGCCACTCTCCCAGTTTGAGGCTCACTGCCCCCAATGCTCCTAATACCACTGGGACTGTAGTAAAGATCCCTATTTTCTTTGATTTCCCTCTTCCTCTCTTCACCTACCTCACTTCTCTTCCTTTCCTTATCACCGATTGGCTACTTGATTGAGTTCACCTAGGCGCTACAAGATTATTTAGGGGCTCCACTCCATACATTCACTCTTTTTTTTTATTTCACCTTCACATGGGGTGGCAGTTTCTGAACCCGCAGCACATGTGCGTCTTCCTTTTTTCATGTTGAAATAATTAACTGAGAAATAACCATTTGTTTGAATGGATATATGTTTAATGGCCTTCATTTATTCATCCTGCATCCTGACCTGATGCCCATGGCGATGGTAAATCAATACTGAACCTCCTACTTAAAACTCGGACCACTTTGGCCTTCACCTTCCACATCTGTTCCACTTGTTCCTTCAGCCACTGCTACTTCTCGAGCTCCATGTGCTCCTTCTGTCTGATGTTACTGTACCGCTGGGGCTGCCACATCCATCACAACTGCCCTCCTCTGCTCCTTGTCAGCCACCATGATGTGTGGTTGGTTCGCCAGCAGCTGCTTGTCAGTGTGAAACTTGAAATCCCACAGGATCTCAACTCTGTTGTTCTCCACCACTTTTTGCTGGTGTGTCCGATCGGGACTTAGAGGAGTGGTGAAGTGCTGTAGGAGTCTGCCAGTGGAAGTGAGAGATATATATATATATGATCCTGTGAGGTGATTCATCTGGTGTCTGAGAATGGCACCATACGGTAGAAGTGACAAAAGAGAAACAAAGGTAAAACTGTCGTCTGCCCTACTTCAGTTGCTCCTAAAGTGCTTTCTCGGTTGGATGGCTGGAGGGCGGATGCTGAGGGAAAAGCGCATCACTGCAGTTAACCAGGGCAGCTCAGATCCTTTTCAAAGCTGTGCCTCCCACCAAACAGCTAGGTTTTCATATCGTGCCTCACTGGTGGCTTCTCTCAAATGATTACCTCATTTACTTGCAAAGAAAAACTCTTCAAATTGAAAGTCTCGCTGATTTCAGACAACAGGGCCTCAGGTGGCGCTGGCTTGTCTTCGTTTATTTACCGGCTTCATGCTTTTATTGTCACTGCAACCAGGCTTGAGGGCTCTATTGAAAGCTTATCTTGGGGTATACATTTATTTTGAAATAGATGAAGATGTGGAAAGCCGTCCAGCTCAGAATGTGATTTGTCTATTTTGCTCTGGGATTGTTTGGCTGATGGAAGCGGTGACACAGGCGATAGCCGCCAAGGTCACAGGAGAGCATCGCGTGCTGTCATGAGGGAGATCTGAGCTGTTATTGCATGTTAACCTGAACCTGCCTTTTCATCCTCCACACTCCATGAGGAGATCCTGCTCACTGTGTAATTCATTTCCCCCTTGTCTTAGTGTATGAAACAGCCAGACACTGCTTTGGCTGCATCACATTTCCATGTCTATATGGTTGTTGTCCCACTTTTCAAAGGAGGCACATCACCTGACTGGTGTTGGTTCAGTCAGCGCACACTGACACTGTAATTGGGTTAAACAAAAGGACCCAAAATAGACTGCAGCCTGTTTCTCCAGGACCCCTCCTGTTCCTCCTGTTGCCATGCCTGAAACTGCAGCTCTGATTCAACACTGGATCCCAGTCATGCAGTGTCAACATATCCTGTTGATATTCAGGAGGAAAAGGCCAGCCAACCAGGGAGAAGAATACAAACAACAGCCCAACGGTAGAGCCTACTTGCATATGAATGTTTGATTTATCTTCTACTGTTCTGTCTCAGGGATGAGTTTGCTGCTTAAGGCAAGGCACCTGTCCACAGAAGAGACATAAGCATCTTGCTGTGATAAACATGTTATCCTTTGTAGATGGAAATCCTTGTGTATTGAAAGAAAAAAAAAAAACATTTTCTCACATAAGGCTTTCCAGTAGGGACTTTAGAAAATGTGCCTGGATGTAATATTGTGCTTTGCAGAAATCCCAACCAGATTTTCATGGGTTTATGCATAAGTTCTTTTTTTTTCTGCAGAGGCAACACTACTAGTTTTAGGGAGGAAAATCTCTCATTATATTGTGTATTTACACTCCATAAGCTCAATGAACAGCATTCAGAAAATCAATGCTCTGTGCTGGAGTTCCAATACACAGCAGCACATAGGTGGATCTCTGTAAGACACAGTTTGATTTTGTCAAGCGCTGCTGTTGCTTGTGCAGTAATGTGGGTGTTTAAAGTAATTGATGAAAATAGCAGGGACTGTTACTGATTACCCGCATGTGGCTGTACAGCCAGGAATGCACTGTGTATACTGTGCATGTATGCAGGGCAATGTATCATAAACATGTTTATCTCTGCACTCCTGCAGGTTCCCAGGGGTAAACACAAATAAACATGAAGGACTGCGTCTTCATGGAGGACTCGAATAGGGGCTGAAAATGAAGTGAAAAGCAATTAATTAACTGAGCTGCAATTAGGACTTTAGAATAAGTAAATGAATTCATCAATAAATAGAATCAAGTAAAAAGGGATTTATAAATGACAAAATAATTGCGGCATGGCTAAATCAGAAATTAGTATTAACACCTAATTAAATGGTGGAATTTGTAAATCAATTTGATAACCCAATTTTTAATTGGCGAAATGCAATAAGCTAGCTAGTAGGACATGCTAGCGACCGCCGCTTTCGGTCAAGCAGATAAACATTTTTGCTCTTATAGTTTTGGTTTTGGAAACTCTCCATCCTCACCCCCTCAGCACCTTCCAGAGGAGTCCAAAGCTTGACAGGAGGGTGATTATTGTTTGCAGGAGGACTTTCATGAACGGATCATTGGTTCCCCATTTTCCTCTTCAATATTTACATGACATTTTGTGGTTTTGTTATGGCAATAATTTGCTAATCCGCTATAGGATGTAAGAAGAGTGCCCATATGTGCACGTTAAAACAAATCACATGTGGATGTTTTCTGTGATATCTAATGCAAGTTAACGATGCTGTATCACTGTCTGCCACTTTAACAATAATGAGTTTTTGGGCATCAGTTTCACCCACTTTGGGATGCAGTGGGTCACATTTCTTCGCCGTGTGACATTTCATATAACAGTTCTCTGTTTGTCTCTGCTTTGTGTTTTATTGGCATTGTATGAGTCATTGTTACTGGACTTAATCTAACTTGACTGACAGGAGTGTAAAATTACATTGCTCTTTTTTTCTTCCTTCTGTGTGATGGTGTGTGTGTGTGTGTGTGT